TAGTCTTTGAGCCTCGTTCCCAATATCATTCAACATGGCGGCCGAATCGAAGGCTGAAGAAAATTTTAGAATTTTAGCCTTTGGGGATAGCCTTACAACAGGAAATATTGGAGGTGAGCTAAACGAAGCATTAGACAAGCCTTACACCATTCGTCTCTCGAAGTTGCTGAGGGAAAATCATCCAGATATTGCGTTTAACGTGAACAATAAAGGAATTTACGGTGAGTTGGTCTGTGGACAAATGACCGAAAGATTGCCGAAGGTTTTGAAGGAATACGGACCGTATGATTTAGTGATCATTTTGGGAGGAACTAATGACATTATTGAAGYTAAAAAAGGGTTAGAAGATAGTCTTTTTGAAGGAATCAAAAGGTTGCATGGTTTGGTCGTAGGTCAAGGTGCGAAGTGTATTGCTCTGACAATTCCAGAAACAGATGTTTATTTTAGAGATCTGGGAAAACGTGGTTTGTCTTGGGTCAAAGAGGAAGGTGAAAAGATTCGTTTGGTGGTGAATGACAAATTAAGGAAATTTGTGAATGAATGTGACGACAAGATCATCTTGTGTGATCTGGCAGAAAAGTTTCCTCAGCAGAACTTGAGCAGTGAGGACTTGGAAAAATTCTGGAGTGACGGGTTGCATTTTACCGAGGAAGGCTACATTAAAATGGCACAAATAATCTATGAGGACATGAAACACCTTCTGTAGCTAGCACTGAGAGAAACACAAACCAAGTGATTTTTTCAACTTCAATTTTATTTACACAACAATGTAATGTTTTAATGTAAAATACATCTGAATATATAGTTCTAGAAAATTTTTGTGTTCTTCACATAGCATCATCATCATCATCGTCGTCGTCGTCGTCGTCATCATCATCATCGTCGTCAGCATCATCATCATCATCACTCTTTGTGATAGTAGGCAGGCACATCAGGCATATTCCATAGTAGGTTCAGTATGTCTGTACAATAAATCAAGAATGATAATAATAACTTATGGTGTTGAAGATATGTCACTTTTGTCTTTGCCACTGTTCCATATGATATGCAGAATTTTCAACTTGATAAACTGAGCAACCATTTAATA